TGAAGTGACTGCTCATCAGCAACATAAATAGTTAACACCACAGTTTACAGGTGTGGATGCCAAGCTACACCTCTTTGGGACCCTTCCCGCCATGAATTTTGCCCACCTTCCACCCATCAGGCCCAAGTTGTAAACAATCAGGGATCAATCCCCTCCCTGATCTGAAGGATCCCCAGGCACCTCCAACAATGCTTCTGCCCTGTCATTCATAAACAAAATAATTATACATTTCTATGCAGAATTAAGTCCAACTGAGTTTAGTGGGACTTGCTCCCAGGTAAGAAGAAGCATTGCAACCTTATTGGAGAATAAATTCCTTTGGGCCCAGCAGGAAACAGATGCAAAGAAACATGGGGAGGACCGGGCTGTAATTTTTGCTGAATTAGGGAGGATAGATTTATAAATTAACTGTTCAATTCTCTAGGGTTTTCCCCGTCTTAAAGCTTGTTAATCTTGAGAGAGCATTATACAGTAACTTTAAATATCATGGGCTAAAGTGAATCAGGAGGTGTTTATTTATTTCAGGGCAAAGGAACTCAGTGCAAGAGCTGTCCAATGGGAGTGCAGTAAGCAATAAGATTGACAGGGAAACAAGAAAGGCTATTGGTTGATATGGATATGCAATTACTATATATATAAATCTGCATGAAAGCTAGGAAGATTTTTAAATTGCATCTGCTGCAGGCATGCAGCCTAAAATCATCTGATTTATTTAACATGTGGACATGGTAGAGACACCCATTTGTACCCATGTGAGTTTGGGTGGGAAAAATGTGTGGCTTTCAAGACCAATTTGAGTTTGAATTAAAACTGGCATTAACAGGGACTGTATTTGCACTGCAGAAATAATCCAGGCTGACACCACTTTAACTGCCATGCCTTAATACTATGGAATTCTGGAAATTGTGGTTCATTTTGACACCAGAGTTCTCTGACAGAGAAAGCTAAATGTCTAACAAAAATACAGGCCCCAGAATTCCATTAGCACTGAACCATGGCAGTTAAAGCAATGTCAACTTGGATTGTTTCTGTAGTGCAGATGCAGCCAGGGTCATGTGTGGATTCAGCCCAAGAAGTTCTATCAACAGGAAATTGGACTGTCATTCTTGTTTAATGAAGTGACTGGAGTCCATAAAACCTTATGCCATGAATTTCTTTTTCTCTTTAGTCTCAAAGATGCTATAGGATCCCTTTACATCTTCTAAAGTTATAATAACGACAAAGACTTTGAATGATATTTCTTATCAGTGCCATTTCCTGTCCACAATCCATTGTTTGCCAACTGTAAGATGCTATACTGAGAGAAAAATATCCTTGTCTGGGAGTATTCAGTATTTCAATGATTTAATCATTATCTACCTAATGGTGGTAGATAATACAGCCACATGCTTTCAGAAATGGATTCATGAAGTGATTATAGAGACCTTCTCTGCTAACCTTTCTCTATCCTTAGCCAGACGGTCAAAGCATTTCCATATAGGACATAGACACATGTGTTGGCAGGGGTGCTGTACAAATGTTGAGCTACCATTGGACCTAAATTTTGAAAAGTTTAGAACTGAGACTCCATTGAAATAAGTTGATTTCAGTGGGTCTACTATAACCATGGCTTTGTGATATGAAAAAAATTGTACAGCACCCCTGCCAAATGAGTACCCAGCTGTTGGGGGGCAATGAGCTTGCAGTTGTAAACCACTTAGACATCTCATAGCGTGATATGAAGCGGTATATAAATGAAGCTGCTTTGCTTTGCTTTGCTTTGCTTTGCTTTGCTTTGCTTTGCTTTGCTTTGCTTTGCTTTGCTTTGCTTTGCTTTGCTTTGCTTTGCTTTGCTTTGCTTTGCTTTGCTTTGCTTTGCTTTGCTTTGCTTTGCTTTGCTTTGCAGCTATGGATGTTCACTCCATGTACGCAGATAAGCAATTTGATCAACATGACTGGCTCTTTGTGAAAATATCAACATGATAAAATTTTAAATACAACCCAATTATCTAGAAGCTGGCCAAGGAGAGACATTAAGATACAGATCCCAAGTGTCTGGCTGTGCTTTCTTCTGCCAAAAGTGAAGCTAAACCTCCAAATGTGTCATAATAGCTTCTCTTGCTGTCAAGCGTCATGTGTAGTAACACTCAACGCACACTGGAAATCTAACCCTTTATGTCAGATTCAGTGGCCTAGAGTAGATTCTCAAAATGTAAATCTGTTGTTTAGATCCTGTATTTGTGTGTCTTTGTGCACACATACAGAAACATCAGACTTTGAAATGTACATTTAAAAAAAATAGGATTTATAACTTGATTTGGCATGAAGCCTTAACCAGAAAACAAATGCTTTAAAAGTTTGGTGTTTGGGGTAGCTTTATATTTTCCATCACACCACCACCACCACCATCATCCTTTCCCCCAAATTAGGACTCATAATGATTCACAATTTAAAAGCACAAAACAATTAAAAACATACAAAAAGAAAACATTAAAATAATATTAAACTACATTATTATAACAATTTACATTCAATAAACGAATAAAATCAAATTTAAAAAATAAGAAAAGCTCTCAAAAAAGTTCAGTGAAGACAAAACAGCAACCCCTAGCTCATTCTTTTAAAACTTTCCATTTAAAAAATTTGTCTCAATAAAAAGCCTACTAATGGAAGCACAACAAGGAAGGAGATATTCTGGCTTCTCTGGGGAAAGAGTTCCAGAGTCTAGGGACAACTACTAAAAAGGCTTTATCTCATGCCACCACTAACTGTGCTTCTACTGGTGGTGGGACTGAAAGAAAGGCCTCTCTTGGTAATCATACAGAGAGATACAAGGCAGTCCTGGAGGCAGGGATGGGGAGGGGCAGCCACACACTGATGTCAGGATGTCCTTCTGGTGCAGCCTTTTGATGTGCTGCACCAGATGGGGCACCAAAGAGCCGCACGGCGACTCTTAGGACATTTTCACACAGGGCAAAAGGAGGACGCTAGCCGGCCTCCCGCCGGCCTCACTCCGGCTCCATTTTCCGTGTGTTCACACACGCGCGGCGGCAAACCCCGCCCCTTCCAGTGTCATCCCTGCGTCCAGCCGGCTTTTCACTCCGTGTGTTCAGACACACGGAGCCCTAAGTCCAGCGTCACTCCGGACGAAACAATGATAACTCCGGCTAACTCCGGCTTCAGGTAATTCCGGCTGTCAACAGGAATTAGCCTTTCGGCGGCGGAGCCATTCCGGAATCGGCGGCACGACCCGTTCCGGAATGGCTCCACCCGGCTTTAGGAGGACAAGTGTGAAAACATCCTTTGAGCAGCCTTTTGCCAGCCCTGAAAGGAGCAGCATTTTGCCGCTCCTTTCCGGGCCAGCAAAAGGGAGGATTGAGGCCATGCTGTCCAGCAGCCTCAGCCTCGATCCTCCGCTTCCCAGGACGGCCTAGGGCCACCTGGCTGCATCCCCCCACAGTCTGCTAAATAGCTTGGACCTGAGCGATATTGGGTGTAATATGTCATAATAAGTACTTTGAATTGTGCTGGTTATTGAGTTTAAATGCTATTTGTTTGTTATTTTGCATACTATAATTATCATCATCATCATCATCATGTTCTGATTTTGGTCAAAAAAAGTTATTTGTTGATCACTTTTTGCCCAAATCAGGGGCCCTAAATTGATATACAATTTTCATTTGTACATGGGGTAGATCAGGCCTTTAAAAAATTACTTCCAAGACCAAGCAGTGGGGAATCTATGTCTTATTAAAATAATTTTTCCAAACAGTACACTAGATGTACATGGCATGCAGTGGCTCATGTGGTTAAGACATTGACTCTATTGATTGCAAGATCAGAGCAGCAAGT